ACGCAGCGAAACTGGGGGGGGGGGGGGGGCAAGGAAGGCATCCCTCGTTTGAATCCGAGAGAAGGTCCACATTTCCGATTTTTTTAAATAAAATATTAATTTTGGATCCTTCCTCTTGCCGTAAAAGTGGTTTGGGGAAAATAGCAAAATTTCGGGTGGGGGCACAATACCAGCGGAGGGGCGCACCATAAGAAAAACCACAAATACATACACATTTTGTAATTTGATGCTCATGGTTTTGCCGTGGGGACCAAATTTACTAGGTTTTCCTTGTAGAAATGTTTCAAATTCCAAAGTGTATGTTGTCAAGGTCTTATAATTTCATTTTAACCTCGAAGCCGCAACGGGCCGAATAATCTTTCCACCTTTTCATAATTTACGCGCGCGAATAATTATCAGGCAGACATCTTGAATTGTGTGAACTGTTCTATTTTACACCAAGGGATATTGCCGCCCTATTTTCGTCATGCGTGTGAATTTTGCAGTGAGCTGGAAAAATAGCTTTGGGTTTGAAGTGTCGGCTTTTTCGCTTCTACCCGCAGCCCGTGCAAACATTCACCTCTGTACGTCATTGGCTAGAGAAAGCAGCTTATGACGACCTTGTATGTAGTTAGATAACGCGCATGCATTTTTCCTTAAAAAAAAAAAAAATTGGGAACTTTTTCACTGCTCTCCATGTGAAAACATGCATTGCTCGATGACCATTGCGTACTATACAAACTATTGAAGTTCTTCGCTGGTTCCCGGTTTCTCCATTCGAATATGGAGTGGGAACCAGAACACTACCTGACTCCCATCGTATGAAGCACAATAATATTTGATTGATTCATTTTCAAGTTTTGGTTTTTTTTATATTGAGTTTACAGATATTGATTAAGATTATTATCTTCTGGACAGACTGTTTCGTACCATAAGGCACTCATCAGCAGAATGACAAAATATAGAATACAAGTAGCATCTTTACCTTATTTCAAATCAAGCGCGCGTATGCGTTACGCGCGTTACGTCATCGAAGTTAGTACGCGTTTACGTCACTGAAGTAAGAACACACCTGTCTTGATGCCTGCACTTCTACGTTAAAGTATGGCAGTGCTTTCTGAACAATTTATATACAAATATTATGTAACCGTTTTTACAATTTCTTTGTTACCGGCGAGATGATATGGCGGACATTGACTTCATATCAAACAGCCAATGAGTTTAATCTGATTTTCTTTTTTCAATTTTGGAACGAACCAAAAGCAATGTTTCTTCGCATGTGCAAGTCATCTCATACGAATGAAACTGGTATAGCCCAGTAGTACAGCGGCAGTATGCGTTGAAACCCGACTCGCATATGATGAAATTTGCGTAGGGGAGAAGTGAATTTTAATGGCGGATTTTGCCTTTATTGCAATCCGAGAGCATGCCAAAAAATAAAGACAATGCGAGCCTAGAAAGCCGGTCCCAGAGTGCACGAAATTGCATTGAATTGATTCAAAATTGCTACCCGGTGTCCACTGGAATGCTTTTTCATGAATCTGGTAAGTACACCTATTTAAGTAGTCGGATTTAGCCTTATTCACGAGTTGGCCATTTTTGTCGAGTTCCCTGAATGTATTTCATTAATTGTTAAGTGCTGAATGGGATGGCGCCAGACTATTTATGCAGGTACAATGCAGCCTTATTTTACTGGGTTTTTTTTTAATATGACTTTTAACATAAAGGGAATGTTTAATTACAAATTTCAAATTATTCATTGAAGCAGACTAGAATTTATTATAAATTAAGTTGCTTTCATTTCTCTTCACAAGTTCAAAACATTAAGATTTTACCTAACTTTCTATTAAATATGGCCGACTCGTGAATAAGGCCCATTCAATGTCGTTTGGGGTAATCCAATACGATAGCATTGCCCGGAGTGTCTTACGTCACAAGGGGAGACAGTCAGTCAGTCAGTCAGTCAGTCAGTCAGGAACAACTGAATCATCAGCTTGTTCATGCGTCACGCGAATGCGAATGCAAAGTGAAGTTGACGTCACGAAACCTTGGCAGCGAAGTTTGCTGGAGTTCAAATGTGTGCGTTAACTTTTGCGGCTTCAAAGCTTGAACATTCGCCGTGACGTCATCGTTCGTTTTTCTTGCCGACCATGAACGGGCTTTTTCTCGAGAGAGAATTCGAGCCCACGACTCCCTGCTCATACATGTATCAAACACGCGACGCCCGAATCGGATATCGAATGTGACGTAGGCATGTGTACACCCAGTATAAACAATATTCTTTACTGGTTTGATATTCGTGCTAGTAAGAAGAATTATTTGCACCACAAATTTAATAGTGAAAGGAATAATATCAAAGGCACTGAAAACTTATTAATTCTTTATTGAATAAATCTAAGTCCAATACTAATTCATCTTATTTTGTGCATAATGGTATTGCTAACCATTTTAACGATTACTTTGTAAACACTGGAAACAGGACAGCCAGCAACCTTCCATTGTCTGATCGTTCTTATCATTCCTCTCTTGGAGAGAGGTGTTCTCATTCTTTATTTTTGAATCCTGTTACGCAAGCAGAAATCGTGAGTGTGATTAACAAATTCCCTATTTGGTAAAGCCCCAGGCTGGGATAGTTTGAGTTCCTTTGTTGTTAAAAAGGCCAGGAGTGCTCTCGCTATACCACTTGCTCTTCTCTTTTAATCAGTCAATTTCTGAGGGAGCCTTTCCTGACGAATTGAAAATGGGTAAAGTGATTCCCATACACAAAGGCGGTAGTAGACATAATTTCATTAATTACAGACCTATTACTATTTTACCTGGGTTTTTTTCTCCAAATTATTTGAAAAAATTGTGTTCAGTCGCATGATTGCATTTATTAATAAGTATGGCCTCTTCTCTCAACCTCGATACGGCTTTAGAGCAAATACCGCTCTACAGAGTTGGCTATACTTGATGTGTTAAGTAAAATCATTGATGACTTTGAGAACAAGCAGTTTTCTGTCGGTATTTCCCTGGGCTCGTCCAAGGCCTTTGACACTATCAATTAACCATGACATCCTTTTAAATAAATTAGAGCATTTTGGTGTCCGAGGGTTGGCCTTGGACTGGTTCAGGAGTTATGTATCAAATAGAAGGCAGTATGTTTCTTATAATCTTCGTCACTCTTTAGAACAGTCCATCACTTGTGCAGTCCCTCAAGGCAGTGTATTAGGTCCATTACTATTTATTATTTATATCAATGATATTTGTAGATCTTCGGATGTCATGTCTTTCTGTTTATTTGCAGATGATACTAATTTGATTTACAATCACCATAATGCAGATACAGCCATCCAAAATGTTAATGTTGAACCCGCACTATTTCTAAAATACGGGGATTTGCCTCTGATAATGGCGTGATTCTTGTTAATATTATGAGGATTTTCTCAATTTCTTTCTGTTCCAGTAGTCTATCTTACCTTTTTCGTCACGTTAATAACCAATGTGACTTATCATGCTATGAAAGTCTCCTTCGTGTCAAAATGGTTTAATATTTAAAATCAAAAATCCAGAAAATATCTAACGAGTGGCATTAGTATGCTATTCATAATTATGACCATTATTTTTTAACGTATAAGAAATCTTGATAAAATGCAATTACATGTACGTCGCATTCATTTTTTTTGTGATTGAAAAGGAGTCAACAGTTGATATGGGACGAAAATGTTGTTATCGAAGTGCTTTCGCAGACAGGCATCAAACACAAAAGTGGTTTAGAAATGTTCGGAAACGTTCGGAAACGTTCGGAAACGTTCGGGCCGATACCTCGGAGGGTTTTAACGTACTGAATGATTTTCTCTCGAGCACGTGTTCATTTAGGGCAAACGCTACTTAGACCACAAATGTTGCACTAGAACACATCGACGGAGCAAATATTGGTAAACACAATTCGGTAGGCTAAGCTTCAGAAGCCGTGGTGTGTACGCGACAATCCACTCTGGTATCAGCATGGAATCCCTCGTGTAACCGAAGTGTTGATGTCCCCTAACGTGGCGCACTTGGATTTTTTTCGCCTCTAGTTCCTTGCTAGAGCAAAAGTTTTACCTGAATTTTCACAGTAAGTGAAATTTCATCAATCTCCAAACATTCCCGTTCACAAATCTTATAAGTTCACCTAGGCCTACCCATTATAAAGTTAGCAGAAATTAAATTTCGGCGTAATGTTCTGTTTTCAAGTGCACAATGAACCTTTCAAGTTAAAATGCGCCCCAAAATAAGAAAATACTTTTCGGACAAACTTGTAGTTGGATATTTGAGTGGAGATAAGAATGGTTCATCATAATTTGTCCACTAAAAAAAAATTAACTGCTAACTTGGAATTTTCCCGAGATTTTGTTCAAGTGCGCCACGTCAGGGCACATGTCTCGGCCGATTTGTGCCCAATTTCCGGACACAAAGTTTTTAGCTCTATGGCATGTGATTTTACATGTCATCTTGTGGCCGGTCGGTCGGTCGGTCGGATGGTCGGTCTGTCTGTCTGTCCCCGGAAATTAATCGAAAGTGTGGTGTACCATATATGCCATCGACGTCTCATTTTTCGGTGTCGCATTTTTCAGCTCTGGCAGGGATCATTTTGATCCATATCATGCAAGACTTTCATGCAAGACTTCTTGCAACATGGCCAGCGCTTATTGTGTGCACTCGCACTTGTTGAATTTCGGACTAAATTTCATGACACTGAAACTGTTCACAAAGACTAAATTTCATGACACTGAAACTGTTCACAAAGATTCACCAGCAAGCATTATTAAGGTATAAAAGTACCAGTATTTAGCTGAGTGAATTTGAAGTTTATCATCAAAGAGGTTTGGCAACACTGCATGAGGAAAGTCGTGGGAAACGTCGAAGTGCGCCACGTTAGGGGACTCACTATGTACATCTTACCGAGCGCTTTAAGGCCATAAATACTTGCAGATATTTATAGTCCAAAACCTCTGTCGTAGTATAACGAGTTTCGATCAGAGCAATTATAATTCACTTACCTTGTGAAAACTTTAACTCTCCACTTGCAGATGGCGCCTAGACCAGCTTCCGAAACACGAGGGCGGTGAGAACAAAATGCTTGCTCAGTAAAGTTCGGAAACAAACAACCAGGGATGCACAGGAACGTATTATGAGGCAGAGCCACGAACTCCTGTTCCTTTATAAACCGGCCTGACTTCCGATTCTTGAACAATCGCACTGCGCGAAGCCCACCTGGTCCCGGTCCAAGGGAAAAAAACAGACCTGCCGTAAGGCCAGGGCACGTCACTGCGCGGCGCGGCGCCGCGGCAGATTTAACGCGGGACCAAAAACCGGACGCAAACTGTCAAAATGATGGACGCGAACGAGCGTAAATGACGCCGGGGCTTGCGGACAGTAATGTGTCAGCGTAAGGTCTCGTAGGTGACGAGTGTTTACGCACGTATTTTAGGGTGTTTTCTTTGTTGTGTTCCGTGGAAGTGATTAAATATTGATAGGTTGAGAATTGCGTCGGACGTTGAAAGAAGCTAGCTTGAACCAAATACTTTCGTCTGCCATTATTTGAGGGTGAAAACGATGGAGAACAAGCTGTAGGAGGATTAGATGCAGGCTTCTGGTCTTACAAACCACATTTCGTTAATATATATACCCTTTTCTGTCGCGATTCGCTCTCTGTTTGAATGAATTGAAAATCAGAAGCACTTTTTTTATAAGTACACTTTTACAATTAGGGCCTATGGGCGATATCACTTTTAAACTAACAGGTGTAAAAGTTTACTGTGGGATGAAAAATGTTCGATTATCAATCGGTAATTCCAATAGGCATTATTCCCGAGTGAGGGCGCTGTTTTGTTTTTCTAAACAGACACGCATAAAAATTGGCATAAGTTCATATGCAGTGAAGTCTCGAGAAGTCAAACTCTGATAACTCAAAACAACTGTTAAGTCAAACATAGAATCCATTCCCTTCAGTAGTATAACAATGATATACAACCCCAGGCGCGGTTCTAGAACCAATATTTTTGGGGGGCTAGCACGGTGGATCCAGAATTTTTTTCAAGGAGGCGTGCTGAAATGTAGACCGGTTATTTTTTCCAGACACTTAGGCCTCCGAAAATCAATAGGTGGTGGGGGGGGGGGGGGGGGAGGGGGGGGGGGAGGACTCATGCCATATGAATGGGGAGCGCCAATAAAATCCTAAAATCATTCACACTATAGCAAGGGCGGATCCAGAACACAATTTTTTGGGGGGGGGGGGGCCAAACAAATTGTGGTCCCCCAAAAAAGTGGGTCCCAAAAATTACGGCGTGGGGTTCGGGGCCCGCTTAAGGGCCCCGAACAATTTTTGGATTCTAGATGCTCTGTGGTGCGATCTGAGGCAATTTCTGACCAGTTTAACCAATTGTTTTTTAAGAAAAGATGGTGGTGTACTCATTGCCTGCCTTTATTGCGATGTCACATAAAAAAAAATTGGTTTCGTTTTTTTTTTGGGGGGGGGGGCATTGCCCCCTTTGCCCCCCCCCCTCCTGGATCCGCCCTTGCACTATATTAACTAATGCACCCTTGTCACGGCTATTTCTTCTTTAGGGGGAGACCGTTCGCATGTACATCACAATCCTTCTTTTTGCTAATGCAATTTTTTTTTTACGGAATTTATTTTGGGGGGGCTAGACAAAATTTTGGGGGGGCTACAGCCCCCCTAGCCCCCCCGTAGAACCGCGCCTGTACAACCCTGCTTACCTCAAAACTAACTCTGCTTAAGTCAAATTTTGAACCTGTTCCCCAGAGGTTTGATTATCAAGATTTTGCTAAAGGTATATAGGCCTACACTAATGTTTTTACCATCTTAAATGTTTATATGCGTGTGAAGATGTTAAACTGTCTAAATAAACAGAACTTTTTTCGTGTTAGTATCAAGAAATTGGTGTCGTAGTACATGCAGCGCCCACAGAGGTGTAAATCTCCAGGGTTCCAGCATATCTGATGTTGAAAAGGCAATCACTGAGTGACATCAGGGTGCCACCTTCCAACTCAAATTACTGGGCAAGCTGCAACTATATAGTTACAACTTAGGGACGGATCCAGAGATCAGATTTGAAGACTTCAAGGGTTTTTTTCACAGCTTGCCGCATCGTTCCAATTAAGTCTCTGGATAATATGACGTTCACTGAAATAAGGGGAACATTTTCAGCGCTAGCCGAAGAGCAGGAGGGGGCGGGGGCCGGGGGGGGGGGGGCTTTGGCTTGAATTACCCCTCCGCGCTATTTGGCCTATTTTCATTCGCGCTAAAGGCGAAGGCGGGTGCTGTATACGACCCCAGCCCCATTGAGGACACAAACAGGCGTCAATTCCAGCTTACTGGCGTAACTTTACATCTTGCTCAGTAGTAAAAAAAAAAAAAAAATTATAAAAGTTATTTGTTTGGACTGAAATTTGACAATATATGCCTCAATGTGATATGTCTGCTGTTTATTCCCGGGAAATACTGGCGGCGTTTTAAAATCATATTTGAATGACTTGTATAATGAATACATTTATATACTTTTGAAGGAAAAAAAATCGACCGACTCATTTTCCACAGGCAATTGGCCAAGACAAGCCTGCTTGGACACGCGTGAACATGAGAACAAGCAGTTGGCTTGACCAAGAGGTGACTAACCGTACAAAGCCCAAGATTTTGGGGGGGGGGGGGGGAGGGTAAACTAAATGGACATGAAGAAAATTTAGAAACACCTGATATTTGCATCATCACAGACAGATCAGTCTTATCCGTCTAGCGGCAAATAGATAGATAATCCATTAAAGTCTACCGGATGCTGGACATGTTTTCACGTTGTAGGTCATTCACTTTTTAGTGGTTACATCAGCAAACTCTCGACCAAAATATCGGCTGACTACATCAGATTCTTGTGTGTGAAATGAAGCGATATGTTGTGCGCTCATACCAGTCTTTGTCCAAGATAATAGAGCTTGAAAGTTTACCCCTGGTGGCGCGCTTCCGGACCCCTGGAACAGGAAAATGAGCGTGTAAAACTCGGAGTTTTTACAAATTAATTTTGGCACGTTGATTTCTTAAGAAAATCACCCTCGGAAATGGCATTTGAAATTTTTTTACGAGCATCTCAATTGATGGAGACTGAAAAATCATGACGTGAAAGACAAATATCGTGCCAAAAATTGACCACTCGCTTCCGAAAATCTAAAATACACGTGGACTAGTGGATCTCGGAGCACTCGTACAAAGATGACAATTTATGAAATAATTTGGTGGCGCTCATTGGGTAAAAACTGAAACTGAAATAGGAGACTTAAATGTCTTTTGGGACACACAATATTTAAAAACAAACTTGAAGGACTAATTCTCATTTACAAAGAAATCGAACATGACCGTTGATAAGAAATGTATTCAAGCAAGCCCGACTAAATCTAGAATCCATCGGATGAAGGTAGGTAAATCTTCGCGTCGTTATAATTTTCGTGTTCACGCAAGTACGCGATGTGAAAACAAAATGTGGTCGAACAAGGAAACCTAGGTATAAAAACCCGGGATGTGAAAGGTCTTAAGTAAAATTCGTTTTTACCCATCTCCAACTGATTTCTCATCATTTTTCTTGTGGAATGCCCAGGCAAAATTCCAACATGAATGTTTTTTTGGGTACTTAGGCCTACGGTTAGAACAGAAATCATTTTGGCAGAAATTATACTTATAGCAAGAGAAAGGGCAACCCCGTGTAAAATGCCTATAGAAGAGTCACCGAGGGGTCCGGAAGCTCAAAGACAAAATGGCGTACTTTCAGGCTCTATTCAAAGTCAGTCTTGGTAATATTGGCACCGCTACCCAGGAAATTCCCAGCATATACCTCACGTGCGCACATTATGAATACAGCGAGATATGCTCGGAATCAGTTACTTGTTTTTCCCCTCATCTTCGGATGAAGATCGTGTGAACTCGTATAGTATATCAGGAGTATCAGATGTCGGCTTGATTTTATGATCGTGCACAGAATAATATTTATGTCAATGTTGCTCTTTGCTGAATTAGTGAGTGCACCAGCGCGCGCTATAGTTAGCCAACTTGTGAAAGTGTCCAATCGGTTTCTCAGCTTTAATGAAAAGAAAACGACAGAGTGCTAAGAAATGCGAGAAAATTAATCTGGATAATAAAGTGCGCCACTTCCATAGAGCGCTAGTGTCATGGGCGTCAATCCTGCGTGGGGGGGGGGGGGGGGAAGAGACACTCCCCCTCCCCTTTTTGAAGGATGGGGGACACACTTCCCCCCACTTTTTGAAGGATGGGGGACACAATATCAAATGTCCCCCACCAGATTTTTGTATTCGTGTCTCATTTACAGGGCCCTAGAAAATATTGGTTAAAGTGGTCAAAAATTGCCTCAGATCACACCGCAGAGCATCTAGAATCCAAAATGTTTCGGGGCCCTTAAGCAGGCCCCGAACCCTACGCCTTTAGCTGAGAATATAATAGCTTATCCAATGACTTCAATTTCGGAAATGATGTTTAGATTATTATCTTTTGCTTAGAAAATATTGGCTAAGCATGGAGGAAAGTGGTCAGAAATTGCCTCAGATCGCACCACAGAGCATCTAGAATCCAATTTTTTCGGGCCCTTAAGCGGGCCCTGGACCCCACGCCGTAAGGACTTCGCGCTTCGCGCTCACACCCCCCCCCCCCCACTTTTGAGAAGCGATTGACGCCCCTGGTTAGTGTGCCGCGCACTTGTTCGTAAGAAAGTTTACACGAAGGTTTTTGCAAGCCCTCTTCAGCACACTTGTATATTTGATAACAAGTAGATAAATTTACCTTTTAAGGCAAGGTCAGCGATGACGGTATAAATGCTGCACGGGGGAAAGGGATCTTCGTTTGCACCGGCCATTTCCACGATGTAATTGATGAACTGTCAAAATGTAACACCTGCTCTATATGTTTCAGTCGTCAGAAATGTATGAAAACGAAAAGTAAACGAGGAAACAAATGAATCAATTTTTTCCCTTCTAAATATGAACTGTATAACAAACAGGGATGCCACTCACGTCCTTTGACCTCTTGCCGAATTTTTGGGAGAGAATTCCACCCAAAGATGATCATCCCTAAATGTAGTCCTGTGGCCCATCGCCATTTTGAAAAATGATGTCTGCGCTCCGTTGCAAAATAGAGCAATTTTAGGGCCCGATTTCGTCCGAATTTCACAGAAATGCAAGCTTGCAGTCCTG